GTTATAAAACGAGGCGCTGCACTTTATCACGACTATCAAATAGCACAAATAGTGAACGAAACTGACCGAGCTCAAAAAATTTTCAACCAAAAATAATATAAAATTATAAATAAAATTATTAAATTATTAAATATAATTTTAACATAAATTGCAAAGTATTTCTCCAACAATAACAATAAATTCCGAACAAGCTAAAATTATCGGTTAAAAAATTTGTATTTTAGATCGATTATCCGGCTTTACTTTTAAAATCACGGTTAATTCAATTTGATGTCGGCTTAATTTTTTAAAATAAAAATAACCGAATCGAACGAACTATATAAAAAAGTATTATTATTTTTTTATTTGTATTTTTTATGTATTGTCAGTACACATTAGAGTTACACAAATTGCACATTAATTAATGGCTATCGGATTTCACATTATCACCGGAATCATTGCACAACAGTGTCAGACGAACTGCATATTAATGATACAAGAACTACATATTATCGACTAAATTTAACAGACCAAAAAATTTTTGGTTCAACTATTTGTATGTCAGTTCGATAATCTGTTTTTAATTTTAAAAGTTCATTTATGGGTTCNNNCAAATTTATTTTTCGTCTGATTTCAAAAGTTCGTCTCAGTTATCTTAATTTTGCTATTTCGGTCAGTCGGTTCAAGCAAACCTGCCAATTAACGACTCTAATGTCGGTTAAAATTTGATAAATATGTGAACTTTTAAATGTGTAAATGATAACAATTATAACAATTATGTAATTATGTAATAATATAACAATTTTTTTAATATGCATATTTCCATGTAATATTTTGTATTTTACATAATAATATTGTACAAATGTTGATCAATTTTTACCAATTACATGTGCCACAACCTATCAAATATCAAAAATTGCAAATAGACACCCCATATTTTTCTAATTTCCAACACTAGAACCACAAATCAAATCTGTGATTTTACGCCATTCCTAATAATCTGAAATCATATATGGCGCCGTCGTTTCTTCCACAATTGGCGCCGTCGTTTCTTCCAGATAGCACCATCGTCTCTTCAAGGTAGCGCCGTTGCTGTCGTTGTCTCTCCCGCCGGTCACACTCGCCGAAATGGAGGCTCCCGCAGTGAAGGTTGGTTCAGAGGTTCGGAGGGTGGTCTCCGGCCTCGAAGTGGCGGCGTTCCTCCTCTCGCAGGCGGATCTGGTGGAGGCTACAAGCTGCGACGTTGGTGGTTGGGTTGTTGGAATCGGCCGTGGTTGGGTTGTTGACTGGCAGCCGGCTGGTAGGTG